AAGCAAGGAAGGAAGCAAGCAAGAAAACAAGGAAGGAAGGAAGCAAGGAAGGAAGCAAGCAAGGAAAGAAGAACTCCTGTAAATTAGTTATGTTAACGTTTATAGGTTTTAGATGTATGGTAAAGCGCTATTTAGCTTCAGGAAATAGCGCTATATAAATATTGTATTATATTATTATTATTATGAAGGAAGGAAGGCAGTTACTTGAAGGTAACCAAGTGACAGCTAATATCGCTGATCTAGGAATTTTAGAGGGGGCGACTATTACAAAGATTTTATCAGGAATGCGAGGAAAAAGGGGGTGTCTGTTACTAACGTAACTATATATTGAGAAATTTGATCAAAAGGGAAGTGACTAGTCACCCCTTTTACCACCCCTGGATCCGCCCCTGCTGATAATCCAGTGTCCCTCTGTAATTACACGATTCCAAGTGTTACTCACAGCTTTAGTGACCCTGATCTTGGTCTTTCCAAGTCGCACGCAGATCCAAACTTTCTCTGTAGCACTGGACTTAACTTTGCAACCAAGTCAGGCGAAGGCGACCAGGACTGCCGCCTGGAAGAAGATGGAAAGTCTGGGGGATGCGGAATACAGAACCTTTCCGGAGGCGAAGCGCAAGGGGGTGAGTAGGAAACACGTGCATCTTTCTCTATAGTCGACGACCTGGGTCGCGCGCAAATCAGTCTTGTTGCAGTTGGTGAACCAGCAATATGACTATGCGCTGAAAAAGGTCGTGTTGTAATGAGGTTTTCTGTAGTCGGGCGCAACCGTGCGCCAGAAGTATTGGCGTGGCTATTCGCGTGGTGATCACGTGCTAAGTCCTCGATATTTTTTATGATCTTGATTTTAGGTACTGTTCCATTTGAGGGTGATGCACTTTTCGGTGTGCGTTTTTCGGCGCTTAGCGCTTGCTTTTTTTCAACGCTTGTGTCATCGTTGACCATGGATTGTTGTCGTTGAGTGGACGCATTTTCTTGAACACCTCTATTCTTGCTTCTCACTGGAATACGTAGTTTCAGAGAATAATTTCGAAAGCGATCTTTTGGCTTTTGCTGTGAAGCTTTACTTTTTTCCTTTTGGGTTTTATGAGTAGAACCCTTTTCGTTCTCTTGAGTCAGTTTGCTTCCTTTAGTATCTTTCGGCGACGAAGAGCCACATTCCATTACAGTTCTTCGGTCCAGAGTCTCATTGGATTTACCACTGTTTAAAGAATCTAGGCCCTTTTTCGCTAGGCCGCGCGTAGAATCCTCTTCGTAGACAGGAGTTTGGACTCGTTTTTCCCAGATTTCGCATCGACTAGCTTCAGTTATCCAACCAGAAACTTGATCTTTCTGCTTAGCATTTTTATTCTCTGAGGTCAAGTCAAACTCATTTAGCGAAGTGCTTTCTAGAAAAATCACTTCGCAATTTGTTTTGTCGTGCAGAGATTCTTCAACGCTGACAGTTTTCTCTTCACATGGAATCTTTTCATACTTTTCCAATAATCTTACGAATGCAGTTTTTTCAAGCCTTCGTGCTAAATCAAGCGGACTTTCGTGTTCGTCTTCAAAATGCAATAAATCCATCCTCCCACGGGACATGACCATGATATTCACAACACAACTCAAGTCGCCACCGGCAACAGCAGCATGAAGTAAACTCCGTTGATTCAGCTTCGTTCGTCTGCTAATAATGTCGACAAACCACTCCTTATCTTCGAGGAGTGAGTTGAACAGCTCGCGTTTTCCGGTACCAACTGCAATAAATGCTGCTACAAAAGCTCTTTCTTCTGTGGTAAATAAATGATTTGTTTTATCTTGGATTCCTTTGGTCACGCTTTCCATATCACCTTTCATGCATGAAAATACAAAACTTTGTAACCCAGTTAGGACGTGTAGTTTGAAAGTTTTTATGGTTTCTGTGTCTGGTGAAGGTAGTGATGCGATAGTGATGGTGTTGTCTAATTCCATCTTTTCATGTACCAATACTTGTATTTCAGCTGGGGTTGCAAACTCTACCTCACAGTGTAGCTTCAAATCTCTAACATTTGTAGTTTTGGTGACGCTGAATGTTGTTTTCTGGTCGAAGCAAGTCTCAACGACAACATCCCACTGACATTGTTTTTTATCCATCTCGGTTTCAGACAGTTTTTGATTACTACTTTAATATCGAGTCGTACTTCGAATCATAAGTGTTATATGAAACATTACCATTAACCACGCCAGTTTTACGTAGCTCTTATATATACTTTTGCTTTGTCGTGTGTGTGATAGGTTATGCCCTCTATTGCTTTATAGCACTATGGGGTTACGTACAGCATGTTGCACTCCCACTTAGAGTGAAGAAATCGATTTATCATATGATCCGTGGGTACAGTTGTCAGCGCGCACTTTTACTACGCACATTACGTAATCCACAGGAACCCCAATGTTTTCAAAAATAAGAACAACAACAAAACGAAATAAATGCGCGATCATTGCTGTCATCATCTTTTTTTAAAAATAGCAATTTTTTCATGGGCGTCTGTATGGGATAGTTTAATAGTGCTGTGAAAATGAAAGTGAAAGTTGTGAAAAGGAGAAAACGACGACTAGATGGTAGATTTGCCAGAAATAGAGTACCGATGAAGCGACAAAAACTAGACGAAAAAGATCAAACGGCGGAAAAAACTTGAAAACAAACACAAAATATTAATTGAAGGA